TGTTCACAAAACAATAAGGTAACAATCCGACACTACTCTCATTGTAATGATGAAGTCCTGACCAACTCCTTGTCTATTTTGATGGATCACTTTAACAAGCAATCACAGTGGCTATCAATGTCTGACCCACGGTCAATTAGACAATTAGTCGCCACAGGCATTTACTGCAAACTTTCATGATCATAATCAGTTATTTATAATTACAATTACACTTGAAATACTTGTCAATTTATTGCAACAAATTGTTTAGATAAACTTAGCACATAATCAGTACACTTTTAATGGAATTATTTTCATATTTGAATAAGTTGCTAAAATAACAGAAAACAATTTACTGTATTTAACTTTACTTTATACACAAATAATTATGACCTTGTATTTAATTTGTTGTGCAAACAATACTTCATGAATTTAATACTTTATATATAACATAATACTAGAAATTCATACCATATGCTACAAAAGCAATAGTAACCACCCTGCCACCCAAATTCTCCAATAAATTTTAAGAGGCCACACTTTCCCTTTTAGAATTCAAATATATCAAAATTTACCAAAATCTTTTTGAACCCAGGGATATAATGAAGAATGAATTCATATTCAAATTTTCATTACAATAGATGGAATGTTTACTATTCAAAAATTGAAGAAAAGAAAAAAAGATTTCCATTTCAATAATATTTCACCCATGAAATATCTATGACCTTTCAAACTAATTTATATATGTTTTTTTTTTTGCAATAAATGTATTTTATTTACTATATTTTTTTTTACTTCTATGACCTGATTTGTGTGCTTGATTAAAGTTATAATACCGTTCAACGATGATATTTTACCCTACAACTTAGTTTTCAGAAATTATCACCTAAATCATAAGTATATCCTCATTAATGATGAACTGCTATACAATTTTAATCTTATTTCGCCGAAACACTCGGATGCAACTGGATATAATATCGCCAGTTTTTGAAATCCCCGCCATTTGTAAAAGCTCTCGGGCCCGATCGGTTTCATTCGGAATTAACTCATTTGCATACGGAAAAGTTCGGAAATGCTATAATTAGAAACAAGTTCGGAAACGCTATAATTAGAAACGTCAACAAACTTGCGACCCCGATATTAGGAGATATAATATAAATGACGGATGCAATTTTATTTTATGTTTTGTAATTAATAAACGATATGAAAAGCTATTTATTAGCTAAGGAAGGTAGCTTATATCCTCGTAACGCGTTACGAAACAATCGGAAAAAGAACAGGGTCTGAGACTCTCACTAGATCTACAGTAAACAAGAAGATGGAGCGTTTGGTCATGTCTATGTCGTACGGTTGCTGTGGTTATATTACCCGTTCTTTATGATCGCTTCGTACCAGAAATAATACGTACCTATTGCCAAGCTTCCATCGTAGTTATAAGGCATACAGTAGTGTGCGTCATGTAAATATTATGAAACACAGACACTTGGGCTTTGGTGCTCAATCTGTATTATATTATAGATGTTGAAATATGATTTTTTTTCAAAACGGCTTATATTAAGTTTTTTTTTTATTTTAAAGGCGTTTTGAGCTCCAAACCCAAGTGTCTGTGTTAGGAAATTATAATGAAAGAACTATAATTAGGCAATCTGGTGTAATAACCTGTATAGGGTGTTACCAGATTAAATAACCAGTCAACTGCATGCAAAAGCCAATACATATTTAACATCTATAGACTCAACCGTTTGATATATGATAATGTATAATTATACTTCAATTTATAAGAAAACAAGAATGGAAAAAGGACCAAGTTAAAGTTCTGATGCCTATAATTTTGAAAATGATCACTCAAGACCTGATTTTTATGTTAGCCTTTTGTAAAAGTGCACATTATGGAGAATAATGTACTAATGAGAATTTCATTCCAATACAAACACAGTGCAACCTGTGTAAATATTATTCTATTAACAATGAACAGTTACATTCCACTGAAAATAAGATTGCCAAGAATTAAATCCTAATCTCTGGATTATGTACACCGGTATGGCATAAAACCATAAATTTCACCACTTTATGTTCAAATGTTGAATTCTGCTAAAGCTGATGCTAGGGGGACATGGAAGGTAACTTGCACTTTCCAACAGGCTCACCAAATAGAGCCTGCAACAGTTTCAATTTTGTCATTTGGGCTTTCTGCAGGAATTCTTTATTTCTCTATTTTCTGATGTCAAATATACTTTTTTAAAATTCAAATAAGATCACAGATTGTAACAATGTTTTACAAATACCTTCCAATGTTAATTTACACTCCACTTCTCTTAATTAGCACCTTTCAGGACACATTTTGAAATTTTGTTAAAATAACAAAACACAGATAAATTGAAACATGTATTTGAACATTGGCAGTAAAACAACAATAAAATATTTTAAAATGACTAGCATATCTTCTTTTTCTTACTCTTAAAATTGTACAACAGTGACTTCTTTACAGTTATAGTTCAATCCATGCTGTCTTAACAGGAAGAGAAAGTGCGAAGATGGCCAATATTGTAGAAGGACATAAATAATATCTTAATTCCAACCAAATTGTATGAACTTGAGCTAACCCCTTATGGGTTTCTGGTGATGAAGGATATTATGCTTAAGCCATTGAGACCTTAGACCTTATTAACTCCAAACTAATGCTTAATTACTAATCTAAGCAATGTCCCTGGAAATGCTCAAAACCTTGGGACAATGAGTTTACATGTCACTGAGACCTTGAACTTATAATCAAATGGACCAATCTTAAAACTTATGGCAATCAGAATTTTTCCTTCTGAGTTACATAAACTATACCTTACAATGTTACACATATTTAAAGGAAGTTAAACTTTATGCCATCTTGAGCTTTAAATCTAATTACCTCAAAATCAGTTGGTGCCATTATCTTGAGAAGGTCAATGTTCCTACCCAGCCTAAAAACTTAGGCTTACCCCTGAATGTAAAATATTGTTTGTTCCCCACTCCTGCGGCCTACCTACAAATAGCACAGCTACTTAAACTATCTTATTGCCCAGGATTTGTTTACTAAATTGAAATGAGAGTGTCAATGGGAATGACATCTTTTTAACTGTCTCATGATTTTTTAATTGCAAATATTCAAATGTTGGGATATTTGTTGATTGAAACTGAAAATATGGTTCTAAATTTTCAAGTAAAACAGATGCTTTCATGCATTCACAATTTGTTTGAACTACATATAATTTTAATGAAAAATAAAACAAGACAAACATTTTGAATAACTAGGAATGTGTCCATAGGACACGGGTCCCCCCCTACGCGCCACTGTTCTGTCAATCTTATGACTCTAGGTCAAATATTTTTTGAAAACTAAAAATCTTTTACTAAGTAAAGGGCAAGAACTTTACAAATACTGAAAAAATTCACAAGTAAACCCCAAGGTGCATAAGTACACATGCTGACCAACATTCTTTTAAACATTCTGGCCTACAAGTGAAATACTTTCTGAGCTATGCATGAACAAGTTGAAAATTGTAAATTATTCGATAAATTAAAGTGAACCTGTAGTAGCCACTCCTATATAGTCTTTCTTATTTATATTTTATCCCTGTAGGATATTAATTATGGAGTTAAATGATAAATTATTTATGTTTGGCTGAATGAAATGAAAGAAAACATAAATACTTTTTGAGCTATGCATGAACAAGTTGAAAATTGTAAATTTATACTACTGTAAGTCAAGGGCAATAACTCTAACAAAACTGAAAAAAATCCACATGAAAGTCCCAGGTTCATAGCTTCACAGTGATGTAAATCATTATTCCTGTAATTTAGTGATGTTGATCATTATTCCTGTAAAGTTGGTTGATTCTCACTCAAGCACTCAAGGAACAAATAACAACATAATGAAAGGTTTTTTACTAAGTCAAGGGAAATAACTCTACAAATACTGGATAAATCCACAAGCCAAACCCCAGGTGCAAAACTAAATATGCTGAGCAACCTTCCTGTAAGGTTAAATGACTCTATGTCAAATCCTTTTTGAGTTACATGTGACACAAGTTGAAAACTGCAAAATTTTACCAAGTCAAGGGCAATAACTCTAAAATTCCTAAATAATTCCAGACGAAAATACCCAGATGCGCAACTACACCTGCTGATCAACATTCCTGTAAAGTTTCATGACTCTAAGTCAAATACTTTTTGAGTTACATGCGACACAAGTTGCAAAATTTTACTAAGTCAAGGGCCATAACTCTCAAAATATTAAATCCAGACGAAAATACCCAGGTGCACAACTACACATAATGTTCAACATTCCTGTTAAGTTTCATTGCTCTAGGTCAAATACTTCTTGAGTAACATGTGACACAAGTTGAAAATTGCAAAAATTCAATGGCAGTAACTCTGAAAATACTAAAAATATCCAGATGAAAATACCAAGGTGAACAACTACACTTGCTGATCAACATTACAGTAAAGTTTCATGACTCTAGGTGAAATACGGACGGACGGACAAGGGTAAATCTAAATGCTAAAGTGGGGGCACAAAAATAAATATTTTATCAGCCCACCTAACCTATCTGAACTGGAATGGGATGAGGGAGTAAATACAAAGATAATTTTAAGGCTTGCCTTGTTTGATTGAACAAGGATTTTATATAAAATGCCCCTATGTCATTGGTCTAATAAACTAGATTGGACTAAAACAATTCATGGACTAATAACAACTAGATCTCCGCGAGTCGGATGTGTTGCCTGGTGAACAATATAGTTTAGGAGAAATGGCCAAGACAAAAATGAAATATGAAAATTAACAAAGGGCAATAAAGTTAAAGCCACTAATAGCAAATAACAAGCAAAGCCAAAATTTAGACATTTAACCTTGAAGGTCAAGGTCAATTATGAATGAAGGCCAAGGTTAGACAATACACCAAGAACTTTAAAAGTTATGAACAAGGTTCAAGTTTGCAGAAGGCAACGGCAGCAACCTCTATTTCTTTTTTCAAAAAAAAAAAAAAAAAAAAAGAAAAGCTGAGCTAAAGTGAATGACATAGTACATGTATATCAAAAGATATAATTGAATAATACTTTTAACTTTGTTACTACATTAAAGCTCATAGCAGCACTTATAGTTTAATAGATTGGATAATATTTTGCACTTGTATAAAAAGTAGTCATTTTTCTGACAAAATATTAAAAACAGACCTTGAGTCATGACAAATGAATCAAGAGAATTTTTTTCGAAACAAGATAGATACAGTGCCATATCTAAAAAGATATTTCATAAAACTATCATGAATACCAGGTGTTCAATGTCAGCTTAAATATGTTTGAATAGTTGGGCAATCAGTGTAACACACTATTTATCATTCTTTTCCATAAAAAGTCAATCATATCTTGATTTATGTTCCTCATGAATGGCTCGGGTAGGCTTCGGGCTAACTTGGGCCAAATATTTTGAAAGTCTGTGGGGGTCATCTTCCTCTAACTTTGTATTTTTCTATATCCCCTCCATGTCACTAATTCTCAGAGTTATAGCATCATGAACAAGAACTGTCGGAGGACAGTAAAGCTCGACTATTCGAAAATTTGTCACAAGGGTGTTTCATTGAGTATAATAATGTTTACCTATATGAATACATAAAATTGTCCGAAAAGGTACAAACTCTTCAAGTTTCAATACATTCCCTTCAGTAGTTATGGAGATACAAGCTTACATACAAAAACTTAACCAAGATTTTCTAAGTCGAAAAAGGAGCATAATTATGAAATAAAACAATTCAGAGTTATGGGACTTGTGCCAATTATCTTAGATAATCACAGAGAACAAGTGTGTGAAGTTTCAATCCATTCCCTTCAGTAGTTATGGAGATACCAGCTTACACGCAAAAACTTAACCAAGAAACTAAGTCGAAAAAGGGGCATAATTATGTAAAAAAGCAAATCAGAGTTATGGTACTTGTGCCAATTGTCTTAGATAAACACAGAGAACAAGTGTGTGAAGTTTCAATCAATTCCCTTCAGTAGTTATGGAGATAACAGCTTATATACATACACAAACTTAACTAAGAATTTCTAAGTCGAAAAAGGGGCATAATTATGAAAAAAAGCAAACCAGAGTTATGGGACTTGTGCCAATCATCTTAGATAATCACAGAGAACAAGTGTGTGAAGTTTCAATCCATTCCCTTCAGTAGTTATGGAGATACCAGCTTACATACAAAAACTTAACCAAGAATTTCTAAGTCGAAAAAGGGGCATAATTATGAAAAAAAGCAAATCAGAGTTATGGGACTTGTGCCAATCATCTTAGATAATCACAGAGAACAAGTGTGTGAAGTTTCAATCCATTCCCTTCAGTAGTTATGGAGATACAAGCTTACATACAAAAACTTAACCAAGATTTTCTAAGTCGAAAAAGGGGCATAATTATGAAATAAAACAATTCAGAGTTATGGGACTTGTGCCAATCATCTTAGATAATCACAGAGAACAAGTGTGTGAAGTTTCAATCCATTCCCTTCAGTAGTTATGGAGATACCAGCTTACATACAAAAACTTAACCACAGGGACGCCGACGCCGACAAATGGGTGACTGCATTAGCTCGATTATTCTGCGAATAGTCGAGCTAAAAATGGTATAATGATACTTTTTCTTCTTTAATTCATCCAGACTCGCTGAAGTCTGAAATGAGAAATTAACAAGCCTGTTATAACAAAAATCATAAGTGTATACAATTCTCAAAATGCATTACATGTAATTATGTCCTCAAAATTTATTAGTCAGGTTATTCAGAGACTGCAAAATCTCTTTTGATTGAAATTAATATTATATAGGCAATATAAATGCATAGTGATCACACTTTCAATAAAAATATCTTATAATTCATAGAGGCAGGAACATTTAATACTAAGATATGCAGCATTTATATTCATATGCAAAAATGAAAAAAAATGTTGAGAATCTATATGCCCAAAGAAGATAAAGCACAACATTTTATTTAGGTTTTGCCTCTTTATATGTTTGAAGAACTGAAATCTTTCTATTGAAATAAACAAAGAAACATGCTACATCCATATTAGACTCAGTACAGAGTACATCTATGTTGAACATTATTATAGTTCCAAACAATTCACTTTATTAACACAAACTGGACACTGTTTTCTTTCATTCTGTAAAATTGTGAAACATTACATGTTGGAGTTTTGTAAGTAGCATACCTAACAGATCCCCCTTGTTGGTGATGTATGGTCTATTTGCATGTATATTATAATCTATGGCTGCAAGAAGATTGTGCATCCTATAAACAGGTGGTGTGTAAGCAAATCTTTTGGTACAATACATCAAGATGTGCTGGTGAAACCCCTACATGCCAGCTGTACTTCTAAAAATGAATACAAATAATGGAAAGATATTTTCATTTAAATGATTTTAGTAAGGAAAAATCCTTTAACATTAACATATTCATATGCTAGATATAATCTCTGTATGTAAATAATTATCTTTGAAAAGATTTTACACAGCTCTATCCTTCAATTGATAAGTGCAATAAAGGTGCCAATTAATTTATACATAATGGTTGTAGGTCCATTTGCGTTAACATATAAAGGTGCTGTAAACATTGAACATTCTATAATCAATAGACATATGAGCTTTGTATTAATCAGGACATATACTCCTTTCCAGTTAGGAAAATAAATCCTTTTAAAAATTTCACTCCAAACTGCTAGCATATCTTAACAAAGATAGACATATCTCCTGTGCAGAATTAATGGTTCCAACATTGGAGCCATTGGCTTCAACTTTTTTGATTGGCCAATCTGGTGGTGCAAACTAAAATTGCTCCAGGGGGAACCCTGTCAATATAAATTTCTTTTATTGTACCTGATGAGAACATACCTGCAGTTGAGATATTATGTCATCTTATTTAGAACACCAGCCAGATCTTTCAGACTATGTGCATCTTATTTCCTTTGCAGCCATGGTTTGTTCTGGTTTCTAATGGGCCATGATTGTACTAGGCAGTGGTGTATTCCATCATCTGGAAACAGAATCCATTCATGCTCAATAACTATAAGATTGATGCAGACACTAAAATATATTATTCCCTGAAATAAAATATCAAGACAAATAAGCATGCATTAAAAAATGGCAAAGAAGTCAGCCTTCAACAAGTTTTATGAAACATTACTAAGCATTTCACATCTATTTTACATATAAAGTGCTTACCATAAACCTATGAAGTATTCCACATTATGCATCAAAACATCTTGCATGCATTAATTTTCTTGCAACAAATGACAATTATGTATTGCTATCTAGAATTTTATCTAAATATTTCTTGAGCAACAGAATAATCATATAAAAATATCAAACATTCAAACAAAATCAAATATATAATTAATAATTGTTTACTTACCATGAATAGTTTATAGTCTGTAGCAGTTTTATAACTAAACCAGAAATGAATGGTTGTGTCTCAATTCAACTCCAAAAGGATTTTATTGGCTTTCTTTAGTGCTACCTGAAGATTAAACCATAACTTGCTTAAGATTTAGAAGAAAAAAATAAAAAAAATCAATTGTGGAATTCCTTTTCATTTTAGCAAAAAATATTCTACATAAGAATTGTATATATTCAGTCTTCACCAACATTTACTATAGGACATGAATCTGCCCTTGTTATTAACAACAAATACAGCAGTATTGCATGCAGTGATAACACCAGTCTATTAAAAATTCTTTGTTTAAAAGGGATATAACTTAAAAAAATATTGCTTTCACAGTCATTGAATTTAAGATTTTGAATTCACTGGCCCCAATTCCAGTTTTGAATTTATTCTACTATATATTTAACTACATTTTCTTAAAATTTACACTGGCCCAAACTAATTTTCACTGGCCATGGGCCACCGGGCCAGTGCTAAATTCAATGACTGCTTTCATAAGAACATGTATGCTCCCCTGTTTAACAATTACACTTTGTCCTGATAAGCAAGTCTTTCAAGTTTCATGTTGATACATTTCAAAATATTTAAATAATGCAATTGTATGCCAACATAGCAATCTGACATAGAATGTAATAGCTTTGAAAAAAAAAAGAAGCTAGAAATTAGTAATTCATGATGTTTGATTGTAACTAAGAAAGTATACTCCACTTTTGAGGAATCTGTAACTATTTTGTTGTATGGTCTGAGAATTGACTACATGACAGAATCCTTTCCAAAAACCATATATGAGCCGCGTCACGACAAAACCAACATAGTGCGTTTGCGACCAGCATGGATCCAGACCAGCCTGCGCAGTCTGATCAGGATCCATGCTGTTTTCCTATCAGTTTCTCTACTTGTTATAGGGTTTGTAAGCGAACAACATGGATCCTGATCAGACTGCGCGGATGCGCAGGCTGTTCTGGATCCATGCTGGTCGCAAAACCATTATGTTGGTTTTGTCATGACGCGGCTCATATATATTTTTTCACAAGTGGATTTAAGACCTATAATGACCCTCTATTATTTTTTCGACTCAGTGAACAATTACCTATAATAATATTATGGAGTCATACAAATATCAAACTCATCATTTAAGATGACACCAAAATCTTTCAATTGGACCAAAATTAACCATGTAATGCATGTTGTTTTTTTTCTTCTTCTAATACAGTATTATATGCCACTTAAAAAATGTCATTATTGTTTAATATTTAAATCATATGAATAATTCTGATCATGATATATATGGATCACATGTTGACATGTATATATCCATTAATTGGTTCAATAAACTAATAAAAAAACATGAATTCAGCAGTATTTAAGATTAATCAGTTTTTATATGAATTATATAAGTAAATTAGTTATGCAAGTATATAGTTATATAGCAATTTTGAAAGGTATTATTATAACCTGTCACTTTCGACAAAAATGGTGTACTTACTCTCCTCTGCATATGCACTGAAGTCCAGGTCATCTTTGATGTCCCTGGTAGTGGTATTGCAACACATGATGACGATGAAATTGATTTATTTCTGTAATTGAAAATATAGCATACTAGTACCATGGCCTAAAATCTTGACTATTAAAACCAATTACAATACATGAATTGCTGCACTGCTTATTATGAAGAAGGTTGTCAATATGAATTATCTAACGTTTCCAGCACAATTATGGTTATTGTCCATAATTATTTTTCAAATTGTGAAATGCTGAAATTTTACTGCAAAAATGATTCAAATGAGACAAAAATATTGATTTTTGTGCGATTTTCCAGACAACATTTTATTTTTTCTACTTTATTTCTTTGAAGATTCGACAACCCTGGATAGTAAATCAATATATCAGACTTACGGGCTTGTTATTGCTTAAATGTCGGTCAAGGTTGCCCAAAGCAAAAATATCTCAAAATCAAAGGACGTCACATTTATAGGACTACCCTTGATAGTTGAACATGCTTTGAAGAAAAGCCTGTTCTGCTAGTCATAGTTCTAACCCTTTTTGAGACACATGTGGCTAATCTATTTCACAGCATTGTAGTTACTATACAGTACAGCTTACAGTAAAAAACAATAATGTGATTGGAAAATAAAAGTTATTCAAAATATAATTTTGTTGTATCTTAAATGATTCTTAAAAGATAGTGATTGGCCATCTTAAATGATATTACAATGGTTACAATGAACATACGCCATAAAATTGTAAAGGATTAGGCTCAGCCGATCTTTTATTTAACCTGTTAGCAATTTACTGGTACGAAAATTACAGTGAACGAAAACTTGATACACAGACGTGGATCTGCAAGCTTAATTTCTTTATCATAAGTCAAAACCATCCTAAAAACTATAACACAATATCTGTGTTTATATATTCGTAGGTGAAATTTTTCTATAAGTAGATCTAAGACCAAGAAAAAATTAAATGCAAACAAAAACGATGATCACCTCACCCTGGGATGTACTATCGTATGTTCCAGCCTCACCTGTCAAATCAGATAACAACTTCACGGTCGCTTTTGGTTTTAATTACGCTTTTTAGAACTTTTCATCGCTTTGAATCACTACCGGAGTATATCCTTGATTGAATTAAATCACAGTTTCTTTCCACTTTTCGCTTTTTCCTTTTCCAATCTCAAAATTTATTTCTCGTATTCGTGACACACCTTTCGTATTGTCCGCCATTATTTTGGTTTGGTAAATCATATCACGTGACTCAGATCCGAACATTTACGGAAATAATCGAAGGGCTTCCCGCCAAAATATAAATCTTATTTGACTAACCCAGTCAAATAAGAAAATGCATTTTTTAGAATGGTCAGAAATGTTACGGAGAGCGTTTCTAAGTTGGAAAACTTTGTCAATACTAGTTAAATAATGCATTTGATAACAATAAGGCGTTAATTTGACAATCTGGTTTGATGAATTTGACCAGGAATATAACTTTAAACAAGAGGGCCATAATGGCCCTGAAATCGCTCACCTGAATATAAAAACTCCATGACAAGGAACAAGTGATATTATAAACTATAAACAAAAGCAGATATAAAATCTTAATCTTAAAAAAGATAAGATGTTATTTAAAGTAAAAGTTTACAGACGCACAGACTATGGACAAATTGTGATCATAAAAGCTCTGCGACAGGTGAGCTAAAAAGGTGGGAATATATTCCCACTGTGATTGACACATATTTATCTACAGCCAGCACAATGGACTTACAAAAATCAATCTAGAAATCTATCAGAAGTCACGATCTGACAGGTAACTGCAATCTCGAGCACAGGGGTGATATATAGATGTAATATACTTCTCATTGATGCTTAAACTGTCTGATGTTCTAATCTATATGTCTACTTTTACACCAATATGGAGAAATATTGAAAATGAGACCTCAAACTTATTATAAAAGAGAAACTTTTTCTCTGTTAAAGTCATAGCACACTGGAAATCCTGGACAAATGAAGGTATAGCTACTTAGGCTCAAGGAACAGTGCTTGCAAATATATAAGATATAGGGAGAAAAAAGTTTTAAGAAAGAGTGTTTATAAGAAGGAAAGAATTCAGACTTCCAAATTGAATTCGAACCCAGTGTTAACTGACAAGTGTTTCCAAGTACTGACCTTAACCTTTCAGCTTCAGAGGCCTTTAATATCCATTCCTATCATTCTTATGATAAAATAAGTTGCTGGTTTTTCCGTTGCTTCGGGTTCATCTCACATTAAAATGAGGTACTTATGTCTCTTTTCTTAATACTATACAATTATATCAAATTCTGGTCACTCATTATAATGCTGATGTTAATATAACTGCTGCTGTAAATATTAATGCTACTTCACAACAATGCAGGCTAAAACCTGGCTATATACAAGTGGCAAATGCTTGCATTTATCACAATTATAGGACAATCAGTAGCACTTATAAAACTGAACAAAAAATATCCCTGTTCACCTTCAAATTGTACTAATAAATCAGATATTTCACCAAGAAAAAAACACATAAATCTTTCCAATTATCAAAGAAGTGTATCTATAATGATGACAATGTCTGTACCTTTAACCTTTTCAATGTGAGGGTATATTCAGTATATATAGAGACAAAGGTCAGTCTGTACATTCATCGGAGATTGACCGTCTGCTGCACCAGTTCAGTTTTTTTCAGATTAAAATCCCTTAAATTAACAATGGAAAGTTCCAAATTCAAAGCAGGACAAGTACATTACATTACATCAGTGGGGACAGAGATATAGAATTATGTTGGGCTTATAACTTGTCCATCAACGAATTCATATTCCTATTAGTGTATTGTACTTTATTCTAGTTATTGTATATATATAATTAGGAAAAAAAATCTCTTATTTGCAGTATAAAATTGAAAACACTAATTTTAGTTTGTCATAGCTTTAAACACCTTTAGTCTTCTTCAGCAGCATTTATTCCTTTATTTTGTTTGTAATAATTGCTGCTGAACATTGCTGAAGAGCCAAAAAGGCATGGTACCTAAAAATAGCATTTTTAACTTACATAATTATGTATATTCAACTAAGTAAAAGTTTAGAACTTTGAATTGATATGCAATACATGACCAACAATATCTCTGACCAATTATTGGCCAATCATCTGGCTTCAGCTACCTGCTGCTGTACAACAAACCTAATCTGTGAACAGACATTGTTTTCATATGAAAACTGGAACAATGATAATATGATTATACTCCTTTAACCTACACCTGATAAATAACTGATTGTATGATAGACTCTCACTTTGAGGTCTTCTACAAAAAAGCATCAGGTTGATTGCATTGATATAAGAATAAGTTTTTTTCTTGTTTTTGTTTTTGTGATTTTTTTTGCGAGTTTTTTTGTGATTTTTTTTGTAATTTTTGTTTTCTAATGAAAGGCTTTTAGACAAAATAAAACTGATACTTTCATAGTTACCTGCCCCTTATTCATGTAAGTATACACTTGAATGTGGCAATTAACCTTATTAAATCTACATAATTTTAGACTTGAAAATGAAATAAACATTAATTTCTGTGTTAAGTTATTTGCCCTTCAGTATAGACTTGTAGAGGATGTGAAATTGACTCTGTCCAGTTATCTGCCCTTCAGTAAAGAATAAAATCTAATGTAGAAGGAATGAGTTATCTGCCTTAGAGTGTAATTTTGAGTTATCTGCCTTTGAGTGTAATTTTTTTTTAAAAAAGAGTGAAATTCATATTTCATACAATCTTGTTATCTACTATTTTTCAGAAAATGCCCTGAAGTCTTAAATGGCCTTACAACGTCATCTACATATTATGCGAATCACATATTTTTACATCTGACATATAATTATGTAAACATGCATGTTTTCAGAATTCTCAACTATTTTATGATTATAATATAAATCATATTTAGATAGGTGTCAAGTCACAACTCACAAAGACTCATTTTACATTCTATGGTGACTGTCTAGCTTTACTGATGTAGAGAACCCAAGTGACTAGGTAAAACAAGTGCACCAGTCCCAAGTTCAATTTCCTTTTTACATTAAAGAATTCGACCTTGGGAACAGGATACATTCAACAATGCAGGTAAGCTGAAAAGAAATGTTGCAACAACAAACACAACCATTCAGTTTTCAAATACATTGAATTACAGATCACTATTAACTCAGATAATACAAAATTAATAATTAAAGTAAGTTACTAAAGTTACATATTATTATCCATGAGCCCTAGGTGCGGCAGGAATTGGTGCCTGGATAAAAACCACCAACCTTAACAGACTGGTACTGTGCAAGGGTTTGTGCATATGCATATAATTGATTGGGAACGCAGTAAAATGCACTGATTGTGTCTTGCTCGTAGAGCACTTTTCTTTGTATTAAATGTGTTTAAAAATATTACAGTTAACATAATATCATTTATAAAGAAAAATGCTCAGTATATCTATTTGTATTTATTTTAAGTATGAGTACACAGTATGTAATATCAGACAACCTAATGACCCTCCAAAATCAATCTGATAAAAAATCAGCTCCTAATTAACACTATGTAAGAAATAATAAAGAGGATCTGGAACTCTCCAAAATATATCTATGGCATATCCCGAAAGTATTAAAAGCCTTTGGGGGAATTTTCGCCAAGATAGCCCATCCACGTTGCATTAAATTATTTCAAATAGGGGAAGGCACAACTGCAAGGCCATCTCATAGAGAATTTAATCAATATTTTATTAGTTAATGTAACATACAGTGAAATATTACAATGTTTTAAATTAAATATTTCCAATAATCTTCCCTTACCTATTTGTCATTCAATAAATCCCTGAAAATTTCAATAACTGTCAGAAAACACTATCCTGTTCCCTAAAAGCACTTGAAATTGGAAAAAAAGCTGTAAGTTAAAGAGATTAGCCTTAATCTTAATCCAATAAAACAAAGATTAATGGTAGACTCAGTGAGAACGTCCAATAACAGGCAATAGTTTAAAATTCCGATACTCAGATATCCACTACTTCACAATAAATAAAACTCCTTGAGCACCTGAAATAAAACAGGGCAAACCTTTTGAAAGTTATGTAAACACAGACTTTGAGGTTACAAAAATCAAAGCCATTTTTCCG